CTTTACTATCAACCTTAAGGATTATTTCATGCAAAGTTTCTAATAAAAACGTAAGAATATGAAAAACAATTACGAAACATACCAAATCATCTTTTAAAATTTATATATATATATATATATATATATATATATATATATATATATATATATATATATATATATATATAAACATTTGCATATATGTGTTTTGTTTAAAATAAACTTGTCTTCTGCATAAAAAAATATACAAATATAGTTTACGAAATTTTACCCCATTTGTATCCCGTTGAGCAAAGGGTAAAATATTATCAAATGCATATCTAAAGATTTCACATCGTTTTTCAGAGCTATCCTAGTCTTAGGGGATGATCATTTATACAAACATTTTTAGCACAAATACATGTAAACTTGCTGATCAAATTTTGTGAGTTTCGTCTTCACGGTACCTTATAAAGTACACAAAAGTCCTATTAAATATAACCAGAGTCTCTTGTAGGGAGAGCGTGATAGTTGTGTGTAGATCTATACTAGGACCGAAAATCCCGCACCTTAGTTGCTTGCAACAGCTAGATCGGCAGGTCTGTGGGTGACAAATGTCATAACGAAATCGACACCTGAAGAACGTTGCGAACAAGGCAGTCTGGGTCAATCAAGCATGGTTATAAGATAAAAATTAAAACTCACATAAAACAATAACGACACTTTTAGTTTACGTAAAGATAGTCTTCAAACAATTTTATATACAAACAAAACTGCATAACATCATTTTAAGTAGGAAAATTACTTATACGCTTCGGTCTTGGTTCATTTAAGGCCAAATCTCATTTTAGGGAAAATATAGGATTTTCTGGAAAACAAACATTACTACATTTCATAGAAAAGGTTTACAAATATACATACAAATTGTTATGAACTCACCAACTTAAATATTGATTCTCTATTTTCAAATAACTTGTATTCTCAGGAAATCAGTAAATCAGGTAACAACTGGCTTTGAGGATGGGACGCTTAGGCATCTAAACAGATCTTTTGTCAACATATTGTAATTGGTATTTTGAAACATGCAATACGTACAAATGATGTAACTTTTTCAATTATATATATGCTGGTTGTGTTTGCCTTGAACAATTATACTCAACTGTTATGATACACTACATGATAGTCACCCGCCTTGGACGTTTCCGTCATCCTGGTTTGGGGTGTGACATGTACCTTCTCAGTAACTTTGTTGCAGGATTCCATATATTAATTAACATTTTTGTTGGAATAACATGATGCAAAAGATTTCGCATCATCTGAGTTGTCACCAAGTTCAAATTCACTTTCTTTATCACAAGAATCAACACTTTTCACCATCAAACACTTGGCTTCATTCGCACCTGTATTCAACTTGTTATGAATAAAACATCTTCCATGTGTAGGTTTGTGAACCTTCTCATCTTCAGAATCAGTAGACCAAACTTCAACATTGCCATCATCACTATCAAATTCTTCTACCATCAGAACTTTTCCTTGAGATTTGGACAATCATAGTTCATCTATCTTTTGAACATAATAAGTTTCATCTTTCTTATTCTCTTTCTTTTCATTTTGCTTTCGTAGCATGCATTCTTTTGTAAATTGATTTTTTTCATTACAATAGTTGTAGTCGAATCTAGAATCATCAATTAACTTATTCTCTTTCTTTGCATCATCCTTCTAATAGTTTTTCACACCTTTTCTGTTGTTTCGTTCTAAATAAGAGTTGTTCCCTCTATATCCATTTTTCTCAATTGTTTGAGTTTGAACTATTGTTTCCTTTGAACCTTGAGAAATTCTTTTTGAAAAACTTTTTCGGATTTCTAACCATTAGAGCTTTTTCTTCACTAGTAAACTCATCATCACTAGCATTAGAATCATAATCAACTTTTGAACTCTTTTCTTTCGGACTTTCACTTTTACAACTTTTAGTAGTAAGAGCAAGAGGACCAACACTTGATACAACTTTAACATCTTTCATTACTTCAACTTCATGACTTTTTAGAATTCCAATTACTTGAACAAGTTTGTAAGATTTAAACTGCTCATTAGCTTTCATAGTAGACACAATGGATCTCCATTCCAAACGTAAGACATCTAAAAAAGTAACTTTTTGTTTAATAACCGCTCTCTTCAAAGAATGTTTTTTTCATTTTGCTTAAGAGATGATTATATCGATCAAAAACTTGTTCAAGAGTTTCATCATCTTTCTCCTTGAATGATCCGAATTCAGAGAGTAAATTTGTCTGAATTGAATGAGTTTGATCTTCACTTCCAGAATACATTTCCTTCAAAAAATCCTAAATCTATTTCGCACTATCAAAGAAACGAATCAATATAAAAGAATTTGGAGTAACAGCAAGTTGTAAATCTCTTTTTGCTTGAAGATCATTACGTAACATATATTTCTCATCTTGAGTAAGTTCATGGTTTCCAAGGATATCTGAGAGATCACTTTTACTATATACAAACATCTTTGTCTTAGAACATTGATGTGGACCATTCATAATCGATTCCCACGTGTAAGGATTGTGCTCTTCAATTCTGGTGATATAGTCTTCAAAATGCATTGCCCACACTTCATAATGTTTAGGAAAGAGAATTGGAATACGAGTATTAGATCCAATATTGCTTAGCATATTGACTCCACTTGATGAATCATATTTAGACATGATTTTAGAAAAAGTCAAAAAAACTAAGAATTAATACAATGAGAACAAACAAAATTCAAATCAAATAAACAAATTTAGAAGAATAAATCTCATATAAAAAATGCAAACAAATTGCAATTTGTGGAATAGATCTAAGAAAAATGAAGAACACTAAAAATGCTATTTTTATTCGATGAAAAAAAAATTGAATAAAAGGATTTGAAGATGAACTCAAATATATTCCTGCTCTGATACCACTTGTTGGATCGATAGATTTAATAAGAATGAAATCATGAAAATCAAATGATGTAATCAAGAGGAACACGAGAATGTAAATAAGGTCTTGTTTTCATTAGAGAGTAAAAGGAATGCAATTACATGAATTTAAGACTCATCTCAAAAGTAGTTACTCTCTACTTCTAACTATCATTCTATTTATATGACATAAAAGAAAGCTAAAGCAACATTCAACCAATTAGGTCGGGAAACATACGTTGCCAACAGTTGTCATAACAAAAACCTAGCAACTACGAACCTAAGAAACTAAATGTGAATAATAAACAAAACAATCACATTAAGTAACAAAAGAAACGTTCAGTCGTACTTAACAACATTCCACAATCAGACTCAGTACAATCTATTACAATGCGAACTGTACACAAACTTATTTCGAAAGTAGCCGTGATAAATTATAAACGAATCAAAACCTCTTATATCCTTGTCTTGGAGACTACTTCAAACCATAAAGAGATTTCGACTAACATGCATGATCTTTATTGGAGTCAAATAACCCTTTGTGTTAGGACATGTAAATATTTTCATATAGACTACTATGAAGAAATGAAACCTTTTCATCAAGCAACTCAAACTCCAAATCAAATGCACTCACCGCAGCTCGTAGAACATGAATTGTTGTGTGCTTCACAATAGGTGAAATACCTTATGAGGGTCGATTACTTATTTTTTTTTAGAACCCCTTTACCACTAATTTTTTTTTTAACCTTATTGGTTCTACACTAGAAATTTTGTATTCTCCTTTAAAGACCCATTTACATCCCATTAGTTTTGATCCATTGGGTAATTGAACAAGTTCCTAAGTTCCATTATTTTCAATTAATTACATTTCTTCATTAACCGCCATTAACCAATTTATTGCTTCTTTACTTGCTATAGCCTCTTTGTATCACCGATGCTCATTTGTATAAATCGCTTATAACAAGTTACTACTAATTTATTATTTATTAGTACAATTTTATTATTAATAAATACTATCAACTTGTATTTAATTGGAAAAAACATTATTTTAAAAAAGTAATATTTTCTGACATATTAGGAATTATTATTTCTATAAAATAATAATAAAAGAGAACAAAACTAGCTTAAATATAGTATGGTATTAATATTAATGTTGTATACAAAATTTTGGTCACTTTGAGTAACCATTAAATTATCATCCAACTAGCTAGTTATGAAAAGATAAGGAGTAATTGAAACTTATCTCCTTAAAGCATCATGGCCAAATTTTTAGGAGACCGCATGTGATTGTTTTTTATTAATTTAATGAACAGACCATGCTTGTAACAATGCCTCATGCTCTCATTATTTTAAGTCTTGCTTATGTGCTAAGTGTTGATATAAAAGAAAGGCTTCAGACATGAAAATGAATTAGTTCTTTTCGCTTGTTTCTTCTTCTCTTTTTCTGTCCCAAAGCCAAGAATCCAAGGGGTTCTCCTCTCTCTATCTCTTACATTTTTGGTGCATGTTCTTGGTAGAGTAAGTTGCTTCTCTTTTAAGAACTTATTTAGTATAAATCTTAATGTTTAAGAACAACTCAATATTAGTAAAAGACTGTAATCTACTAGTGGTTCTATTTTTGCTTTGGTGGATACATTATAGATGACTTCTATTTGGAGTTTTTGTGCCATTTTTATCAACTTCATAATTGCCAAAAAGAACCAAAGTCTTTAAATGTTCTATACTTAAACTCTATTGAAATACTTTTAAACTAAAATCAATTGAATTTTATATACTATTTTAAAAACGCCCGTGTGAGAGTTGTTTCAAAAATGGGAACACAACCTGCTTTTTCCAACAATAGACCTATCACTAGAGACATACACACATGCATACAAAGAAGTGACAAAGAAAGAAGACATTGAAATGATTGTGATTAATGAAATAACTGAAATCAAATAATGAAAAACATGTGTGAAAGAAACAACTACAAGGACAAAAAGATCATGTAAACAATGCGTATCGATATAAATAATCAACATATTCTAAGACTCGTTTAGATGTGATTGATTAAGTTTATGATTGCATCATGTTTGATTTTAAAGATAGGTCAATGCACTACACTGGATGAGAGTGTTTGTGAAAGCGAGAGAGCCTATTATCAGCCAACTTGGTCTTGTAGGTGCATGATTTATACTCAAACCAAGTGAACTCATTATACAAACTTTCTTCATCAGGCTCCATGAGTGAATCCAATGGCGAGATCTTCTCCATCAATGGTGGACCTCCAAAGTATATCATTGACACCCTTGATTTGAAACTATCTGCAACCACCCTATGCCTTACACTTTTAAACCTTCCATTTGTCATTACCTTCACTCAAATCAACAAAAAAAAATGTTAATTTTTTTATATAAAAATTGTTCGATTTAAATTTACTATGCTGAAAATGGATTAAGTATGTAAAACAATAGAGTTTAGCTAATAAAAAAAAAGGCCAATAAGGTCAAAAGTTGCTTACACTGTATACGCAAATGATTATAAAAATATAAATTGCTTTATTCTAAAATAACTATCATTTTAATATTAATTTTTATAATCATGTTTCATATATAAAAATAATTCAAGAAATTTTAGAAAACAGATCAACCCATTCCGTTTTGACATATTCTAAAATTTTACCCATTTTGAACTACCTATGTTGTCGCTAGTAGAATTACTACACCTTTTTTTAATGAAAAGCATGTTGTAATATTAGATAGCGTAACTAAATACAACCAGATGTATATTAAATATCGTATGAAAGGAACACCCTTTTATTAGATAAGATTATTTTGATAATTGATTCTTGAATCACTAATCATTAAATTCAAATATGTTTCTAATAAACCAAAATACATTTTTAGATCAAAAGACATATCTTTTGATCTAAAAATATTTAAGATGGTGAACGTTGGCTATTTTTTATTGTGGTAAACTAGTTAAATATAAAATATATGAGTTATAATTATCTCTGTGGAAAGAAAAATCACCTCTAACAAATCATCAACGTTGATGAAATAGGATGTCTCATCTTGTGGGACTCCGACCCATGTTCCATCTTCAAGATAAATTTGAAAGCCTGATGTGGCATTGGATCTGGCAATCGATATAAGTTGTGGGTCTGTGTGCTCTCCAAATCCAATCGAGGTTCTTCCATGGCTCATGGACCTGTTGTTATTGTTCAGGTCTGATTCAGGGTCAGAGTCAGAGCATGGTGGATAGTGGTTAAGCCTAAAGATTATGTCGGCCTTCTCATCGCTTAGCATCCGGCTTAACACATTCTTTGGCTCTATCTTAAGGCCCTCTGCCATTAACTCAAGTATATTACACCCCATTTTTCTTACTTCTTTTACGTACTCTTTTACTAGTGACCTTCACAACACAAAAAGAATTACAATATAAAATTCAATTGTAAATGTTTGTATAAGCTAAGGGTGTTGGACTCATTTTTTAAGGTCAAAACATACGGCATAATTAGGAATATTCGTTACGAAAACATATTATTTATTTATGTATAAACTTATAAGATAGTTCTTCAAATAATTATTTGAAAAACATGTTAGATAAATAAAGACTAAAATGCATCCCGTTAGGTTATTTGTCCCTGTTTAGAAATTTTGCGATTTTATTCCCACTTTTTCTAATAAAAAACAATGAAAAATATATTTTGTTTCTCAAGGTGCAATATATGATTCAATCTATAATCTAATAAAATTTAACAAATAATCAAATAGAAATGCATAATATTGTATTCATGGGTGTTTGAGATTTCTTTTCAAAGCCAAAAAATCTTTTTATAAAAATTCTTTTCTTAAAAGTTCTTTTAAAAAGTAAAAGTTAAAAGTTAGTTCAAAAAATGTTTGGATGAAATTTCTTGATTTTTGAATTTTTACATTTTAAAGTGCAAAAGTCACAAAAAAAAATACAATTTCATGATTTGAAAAAAAACATTCTTATTCTTCTTGACAAAAAATTATTTTCAAAAATTATTTTTTAATTCCCAAATATCTTTTGAATCTTTTAATTTTTTAAAAAGCTAAAAATCAAAAAATTATTTTAAAAGTAATCTCAAACACTCTCTAAAGACATACGATTAAAAAGTCTATAGACCATAGATATATATAACATTTTAAAACAATTAAAATAATATATAATGAAAATTTGTATGTTTGCTAACAAGACTCCAGAAACAAGTTGACCGCAGTTTTGAATCTTTGAATGCAAGTATACTCCCTCCGTGTGTCACAGGGCTCCGACATATCAATAAGTTGGTAATTAAAAACAAAATAAAAAAGTTGGTAATATAACTACACTCTAAAAATATATTTCTAAGATAAATTATTTTGCATGAACTCAATAGATTACACAACTTATATATAGTATTTAAAAGAAAGTAGATCTTACGAAAAGATTTTGGAGTTGATAGGGAAATTAGTGGAAGTAAAAAGAAGATACTCAACCCATCCAACGTCTCCATTTAGTCCAATTTTGTTCCTTCCGTACCCAAACGGGTTTGGAGGACAATACTGGTCTTTCTCATACTGTCTCATGTTGAAGAACTCAACAGCTTCTTTTTCTAATTCAGATACAAGCAATGGTGCCACACCATGGTTTATTACCTTAAAAAAACCATAATCTTGACACGCATTGACAATTAGATTCTTTGCGTCTTCGGGACGTGAAAGGTCAATAACTGGGATTCCAATAAAATTGGTTTTGTTTGATTTGGTTGGAAATATATTTACCAAAGGCTTCTTTTCTATTTGTGAAATTATCACCATGTTGATCGTTTGGTATCTATAGAAAGAGGAATTATCTACCTATTTATACACTTTTAAGGGGCAAGTTAAAGTTTTCACACGGACACATGACCATGCATACACACCTACGGGCTACGTGGCCAGAATGTGAGATATTTCTATTTTATTTCTTGATTAATTTATTGTTATCAGAACATTAAACTTTTCTTATTTGTTTTACTATTATTATAATGTGTTGATTCACTTGATATTGATAATGGCAGGAAGCTATTCAATAACTTCCACCCCCTTCCCATGTTTTAGTGCCTCTTCTCCTCCAAATCAAAAAACCAAAGGAAATACAACAAATAAGAAGTTGTGAATTAAATTGAAGTTATGTGGGTTGTCATATTTCACTTGTGTGGACAAGCAAGCGTGCTTCTTTTTAATTATTCGTTCGTTTGTTCACAATTCATATTAAATCAAAGGAACATGAGAAACAAAATTAGAAAGGTATAATACATAAATAAACAAAATGTTAATTGTTATTTTAGAAGTACTGAACTTACTAATATCATTTTTTTTTTCAATTAATGGTTTGTTGTTGATAAAAAAAAAATAATAAATAAATAAATAATAAAAATAAAACTAATCTTGAATTTAACTTAAAATGATATGTAATAATGTGTTTTATAGATTCGGTAAAAGAAGTTGGTTTCTTACAAGTCTAAAAGCACAGTGACTTGAAAGTGTTACAGTGGTAGTTGACCAAATATGTCCAACGCAATATCTTCCTAAAATAAAACCAACAATTTTCTTTACACGCTTGTTTAGGATAACTTTCAAAATAACTTTTCATTTTTAACTTTTTTAAATAATCAAAAAATAACCAAAAACATGTTTGCCTAATGAAAAAAATCTTTAAAAATAATTTACTTTTTGTATAGAATAGAATGAAAAGTTGGGTTTTCAAAAATCACAAATCTTATTTTTTTTATAATTTTTGAGACTTTTTAACTGAAAATTTTGTTTTTACCTTAAATACAAATACAAACATATTTTAAAATTTTTCTTTTGAAAAAAGTCACTAATTTTTTAGACTTTTTAGCTGAAAATTTTGCTTTTACCGTAAAAGCAAATACAAACACATTTAAAATTTTTTTTTTTAAAAAAATCACTAATCAAAAAGTTTTTTTTACATAAAAGACTTTTAACCTTAAAAAATAATCGAAACACCCCCTTAATGTCAACTTTTATTGGAAAATCCTAAACAATTGTCATGTTCACGTTTCAACTTAAAAAGTTAAAGTTTTAATAATTTTTATTCTTATCACATTTGATTTAAGAGGAAAACCAAGAAGGTGGTCCAACATCTTTTTGTTTAGAGAAAGGGATAAAGTTTTGATAGGGTAAGATATTTTTTACTTTGATCACATTTGGTCCCTGAACTTTATTTCGTGCTTTATTAACTCTTTAACTTGTTGAATTGTACTAATGTTCTCCTTATGGCCGGTTTTAAAGGATTTATTAATCTTACGTGTACTTTTTATCTTACATGGCAAAAGAGGTGGCATGTAGGCCCCGATTTGCCGTCTCCTTCTCGTTAAACTTCACCTGGAAGTCTCATTTGGTCCTTAAACTCGACTAGGGCACAAAATTCTCCGTCGATCATTCGTCTCCTTCAATCGTTTTGTAGAATGACATCATTTTCAAATCCCACTGATCAGAACTTCATTGTAGTGGATTTCCACTATAATGGTCAGTTTGCACCCAATCCCTTAGTTTACTTTGATCCCAATAGAGCATCAGTGCGAGATGTTGACTTCAGTGCGTTTGGGTATGAGCAATTCATGGAATTCCTTCATAAGCTCACCAAATCGAGAAGCAAATACATCTATTTATGCCTTCAACAAGAGTCTTTAGGTCTGGGAATTCATACATTGGTGAACGAGGGTGATTACAAGGAATTTTTGGATTTGGCGTATGCTAATGACAAGAGAATGAATGTATATGTGGATCACCATAATGAACCTATCTTCGACTGGATTGAGGCTGAGGAAAGTGAAAGTGAAAATGAAGACCTAGATGAAGATGAGGATTCAATTATTTAAGATTCATATTTTGTTGATCATGAAGAAGATGATGCTACCTATCCATTTCCAGCAAACAAAACTGCACATGATAGATTTTTAAACATCCTTTGTGAACCTACAGAGAGTGAAGATCAAGATGATGAATACGTGTCACCCCAGTACCCTGTGTATGATGAGAGACGGCTATGGGATCAGATAAAATCAATGATAGGTATGCGATTTTCTAACCCCTACTGAGCTTAAACATATGTTAAGCAACTATGTAGTTGCTAATGGGTATGATCTATGGTTTGAAAAAAATGACTATGATAGATTGTTCGTGAAATGTTGCAAAAAGAATAAGTCACCATCTCGCCCCTTCAGACTATGGGCCTCTTGGATGAGTAAAGAAAAGACTTTTCAGATCAAATCTCTAGTGAGTGAACATAATTTTTGTAGGGTGTTTAAGTTTGGGTTAATAGTAACTTACAGATGGATAGGGAAACATTTTATGAGTCAAATATAGAGAATCCAAAAATGAGTGCAAGGAAGATTAAAGTTAAAGTGTCAACGACATTCAACATAAATGTGAGTGTGGGGCAATGTAGAAATGCAAAGAAATTGCATTACAAGAGATTGAAGGAAGTCTAATTGAAAATTATGGGAGATTGTGGTCATATGGTGACGAAATTATCAGGTCAAATCCGGAGTCTACTGTGAGGTTGGATGTATACATCATACCAAATTCCACAACTTTGTTTTCCAGGTTCTATGTGTGTTTCAAAGTTGTAAGGGATGGTTAGTTAGAAGGGTGCAGGCCTGCAATTGGGCTTAATGGTTGCTTTTTAAAGGGTATAGTTAGCGGAGAAGTTCTTTCAGTTGTTGAGAGAGATGCAAACAACCAAATCTACCCTATATCATGGGTTTTGGTATGTGTTGAGAATAAAGAAACATGGAAGTGGTTCATAGATTTGTTTATGGATGACATTAATGGTGGTCTTGGTGTAGGCATTACCCTTCTTTCTGATGGACACAAGGTTATTACTAGGTCCTTTTTATACTTCATTTTTATGCTTTACTACTCATGATGTTGTGATTTGTAGGGGTCATTACAAGCAGTTAAAGAAAGATGTCCAGAAGCTGAACATAGGCAATATGCCAAACACATTGTGGCTAATTTTAGTAAAAGGTTTACCAGTCAAGAATACATAAAGTTATTTTGGAGGGCTGTAAGGGCTAGTACTGTAGAGAAGTTCAGAGGTGTAATGGAGAAGATAAAATCTATTGATACTCATGCTTATGATTACCTTATAGACATAGATGCTACTACCTGGTCTAAGGAATTCTTTCAAGAAGGAAGAGATTGTGATGCAGTGAAGAATGGGGTCGGTGAGAGTTTCAATTCTACTATTAGGCATGCTAGAAGGAGACCTATAATCACTATGTTGGATGAGATTAGGTTATTTGTGATGGAAATGATATACACACAAAGAGCTGAACGAATGGAATGAGATTTGGATATATGTCCAACTATTAGGAAGCATATAGAAGAGTTGAAGGTTAAACAGAGGTAAGTTTTTTACTTTAATATGTTGATGTTAATTATGGGGATGTGTTATTGATTTATATTTTTTGCTTTAAACAGATTGTGGGGAGTTACTCCTTATGGTTATCAAAAGTATGAGGTTAGATTCATTGATGTTGCATATGGAGTGGATCTAATTACAAAGAAGTGTACATGTAGAATATGGCAACTTACAGGAATGCCATGCTTAAATGGAGTGGCAGCAGTCTCTTACCTAAATAATGATGCAGAGACATATGTGTCCCAATCATACACTATTGAGGCTTACCTAAAATTCTATAAATATAGCATTGATCCTCTCAATAGTAGTGATATGTGGCCAAATGTTACATACTACAAGCCTTTGCCTCCTAAAAGAAGAAGATTACCTGGTAGGTCATCAGTGAAAAGGAAGAGGGATGCAATTGAAAAAGAGTTGAGTGGACCAAGTAGACAAATTTTCACAAGGAGGGGAAGCCTAATAAGGTGTGGTATTTGTAAGGAACCAGGTCACAACAATAAAAAGTGTCCATCTAACTAGCAAAACAATACATGAGGTTAATTTTTTTAAAAACATTACATCATTTGAACAAAGAATTTACATTTTAATTTTTGTTTGCAGTACCAAGTTCATCCAGGGGCAGTGGAGCAGACCCAAGTTTATCCAGGGGCAATGAAGGACCACCACCTACAGCCCAACCACATACACCACCACCACCACCTCCAGCCCAATAACCTCCTCCTCCACCACATGCAGCCTAACCACCTCTATCACCATCACTTGAAGCCCAACAACCTCCTCCTCTACCACCTGCAACCCAATCACATCCACCACCACCACCTGTAGCCCAACAACCTCCTCCACCACCACCTGCAGTCCAACCACCTCTATCACCACCACCTGCAGCCCAACAACCTCCTCCACCACCACCTGCAGTCCAACCACCTCCAACACCACCACTTGCAGCCCAACCACCTCCTCCACCACCACCTGCAGTCCCAATGCCAAGAAGAAGGGCCCCGGTTGGTAGAAGTGGAAGGAGGCAATATTCTGAACAGATCATCAAACAAGCATTAAAGAGGCAGATACCTAGGGATGGGAGCAATGCAGATAACCCTTCAATTATTGATTAATTTAGAGGGTAGGTAGTAGGTGGGTGAGAATATCTTTTGTGAGGCGGTTGTGATGTAAAGACAAAGTAGTAGTCTTTTTATTATGCTTTTCTATGGTACTATCAAGTAGGTGTGTAGGCACATGGTGGCCTTTCTTTTGTCTATGCATGAATCTTTTGTCTTACTTAGAAACTACTTTTGTGTATGCAGATAATAACTTATTTAATTTCGAATAGTAATGGAGTATTTCAATGAATCCAACCGCCACATTCACTTCTTTGTTATATGTATTCATTGTTATATGTATGCTACTTTGTGATTCCATTCCAATGAAAACTAATTCTTTGTGATTCCATTCCAGTCAAAATTACATATATGCTACTTTATGATTCCATTCCAGTCAAAATCATATGTGTATTCATTGTTATATGTATGCTTCTTTATGATTCCATTCCAGTCAAAATTACTTCTTTGTGATTCCATTCCAATCAAAGTTACTTCATTCCATTCCAACAAGAAGTTAAGATAATGGCTCCATTCCATTCAATACATCATTTCATCATATACATGATGATAAAAAAAAAAAAAATCCTATGGTAAACTTATATATTTTCTCCTTCATTACAATGACATCAGAGTACTTTTCCTTCATTTGTTCCATGTCTTCCTTCACCTTCTCTACTTTGGTCTTCAATGCTACTAATTCAGCTTTCATTCCCTCCACCACTTCCATTAGAGGCATTTGTACAAGTTCTACATCCAACCATTTTCAATATTTGCATTTACCCTTCAACACAAAAAATTCAAAAGGAGATTTCAAATCTAGAGTAAATGAATCAGAAAAGAGGGAAAATTCAAGTGAAATTGCTTACCTCATTACACACCATGAAATGCCTCCTGGATTCTTTGGTGTGTTTGATGTTAGAATACGTGCAGGGAACCCATAATCACAAGTTTTTGGATCATTCACTAAGGATTTCTTGCTTGATCGATTGAGGGAGGATGAGAAGTTGTTGGAGGAAGCCATCGGGTACTAGGGCATTGGGGTATTAGGGCACAATAAAGGAACAACATACGTCACTTTTTTTAATAACAATAACCCTACATGCCATGTAGGATCAAACTGACACGTAGAATCAATAAATCCATTGAAACCAGCAAAAAACAGTCGGAAGGGAAACATTAGCACAATTCAACAAGTTAAAGGATTAATAGAGCATGAAAAAAAGTTCAGTGACCAAATGTGACCAACGACAAAAGTATGTTACCCTCTAAATTCATTATGTCAGAAAACATCTGCCTAAAAACGAATGATAATAATATAAGCAAAAAAGAAATAGGAATGTTGTTTCAAATTGTACTTTGTTCTTTTTTTATTGCATTTTCAAAAATTCACCCATTTGGTTGGCATTCATCTTGTTGTAGTTGAATAAAAAATAGCAACATATGCTACTTACACATATAAACTGAAGGTAAACTCACATCAGCTTTCTGGATAAGGTTTTGTGCAGCATCTTCAAGTTTGAAAATGTCAAATGAGGTTGAATTCATACCAACAATAAATGTCAAACAACAAATTCCCAAATTACGCACCCCAAGTTATCTTGCCCCTTTTCTTCCTTTTACCATGAATCAAAATTTTAATAATAATATCAATTGAACAAAGTAAGGATAAGGAACATTTGGATGTTAACAACTAATTCCAATTTACAAGTTTTCGGATACAGAAATTAGAAGAGGAGTGTGAAAGTGAATGTTATTTGAATTATAAAAAAGACAAAATTGCAAAAATGGTCCATGTGGTTGGCAAATTTATGCGTTTTTGGTATAAAACGAAACCTTGGTGCATCAGTGGTCCAATTTTAGAAACCTTGTGTGTTTCTGGTCCTAATGGTTGATATTTTTGTGTGGTTTTGATCCATACCCCAAATGAAATGACAAATATGCCCTTTATTAATTTTTTTTCTTTCTTTTATTTAATTTCTTATTATTTTTATTAAAAAAATATCACCAACTCACACACACACACACACACTCTCTTTCTCTCTCACACACACATACACACCAGTGGTCCGCCATTTTCCTTTCCTCTATTAATGCTTGCAGGTAAGCATCCACCAACATTCCTTTAAATTTCTCCCTCTATTCACTATTTTGAGGTGTGCTCAGAGGACCTTAACTCCGGCAAGACCCAGATCCAAAAATCGATGGGACAATTTCTACATGGAGGGGGATGTGGTTGGAGAAGAAGGAGAGGTTTTAGGTTCTCTGGTTGTGACAAATCTTCGACATTTTCATCTTCTTTGATGACACCTGACATCGAAACCTCTATCCACCTTCTTTCTCCAATGCTCAGATTCTTCCTCCATTCACGATTTCATTACCCATAATTTCCCAATTCCTAATTCCTAATTCCCAATTCTCTCTCTCTCTCTCTCTCTCACACACACACATACACTCTCTCTCTCTCTCTCTCTCTCTCTCTCTCTCTCTCTCTCTCCCTCTCTCTCTCACACACACACATAGGTTCTTTTAGCGATGTGGATGACTCCTGGTGGAAAGAAAAAACGAATATACATGAGAATTTATCAGATATTCAAAATTCGGAAATTAAACATTCGATTCAACTTCAACCCACCTGAGGAAGAAGAAAATTTAGGGTTATGGCATCCCAATTCGATGGCTGAAGAACTGAAATTAATACATAAATATATAGTGGTTAAATTGAGATTGGAAAAAGTAGTAGACTGGAAAGCTTACTAGAAGTGATGAAGGTTCCTGAAAGAATTCATCCATAGTTGCGAGAAAAATAAAACTCGTTAGTCGAAGCTCATACAAACGGAGGATCTGATATTAAGAATGGAATAGAAATTAGATGAATTAAGGAAGGAGGGGGGGGGGGAGGATTACAAAATCTCTAACCTATATAACTTACACACAACTTGTTGAAATCGTCTAGCTGTTTGGTTCTTGAATTGGACATCTTGAGCTCTCCACCTCCTCACTTTTTAGATCTAGAAGATGAGAACCCATGAGTGAAGATCAATAAAGCGTTTTGATCAAACACATACACGATTTGGGTTCTGAAATCGTATGTGTGTATGTGTGTTTACCCTTGTGTCTAGCTTGTTTCTAGAAATCAAGATCGTTTGCAAATATGTTCATCTTCTGTGTGTTTCTGTTAATGTTGTTGTATAAATTAAAAACCCTGGAAATCACGAAGAAGATAAAGGGGTAGAAGATGATGATTTGTATTCTTCACGAGAGAGAGAGAGAGAGATCCATTCTCTAATTTTTAATTATTTAAGATCATTAAAATTTATATAAAAACAAGAAAAACAAATATAAAGGGTATAATTGTCTTTTTAAGTGAATAGGGACCAAAATCACTAAAAAAATCCAATTTTAGACTAACGGTGCACCAACATTTCGTTTTGGACCAAAAGTACAGAATTTTGACAACCACAGGGACCATTTTTGCAATTTTGCCTATAAAAAAACAACTTACAGTAAAATCAGTCGATAGAGAAGATGAATCTCATCGTCATAACCTAAATGCAACTGCAAACGATGATGAAAATCAAATGTGCTTTTCCTATTCGTTTACTTCTTCGTCCTCGAAATGTTAAAAGAAAAAGGAGAAAAACAAGGTACAGAAGCAAGAGGTGGAACAGGGAGTAGCGAAAAAATTACAAAAATGCATCAACAGAAATAGCTGAAGATTGTAAACAGATTTGTGGAAAGAACAAAACGTGATGACATTGAAGCATCAACGAAAGACATAGCAGATTGTTGACAATTGACAACTAAAAATCCAGAGGATGAGATCCCGGGAATGGATAAATCGACGAGCCTCATTAAAGAACTGAAAAAAAAAAAAAAAAAAAAAAAAAAAAAAAAAAAAAAAAAAAAAAAAGATCACTTTGAGAAGCACCTGGTGTTTAAAGGCCCCTTTTGAATTATGAATATTGAATAATCCACGAGTTATCTTGGGGAGAAGCATATTCTTGAACATAAAGGACGTTTTGGAATATCGTAGTACTTGGCGAGGCTACAGGGAGATGGTGGCGAAGTGACAATGGCTAATATAAGCAAGCGATTGAACATCACATTCTCATCAACTTAATTCCAAAAAATCTAAAAAATGCCATGCAAAATTCTCAAACCATCTTTGTACCATGTCCTTTGGGCTAAAGAACAAATATTCCACTGTAGCAGCCCAAACATAAGATTAGCTCAAAATGTGGAGTTGTGGACTATCCATTATTTCCCAAAAGTTTCCCAAAATGCCGATTCTTTTATCTATTTTCTATTTATCTCTTATAAAAAGATACTATTTAAATAAATATGATTCAAGATAAGTATAGACTTGTATTATATTCATTTGGATTGTTATCTTTCAAGTAATTAATAGTTACCATTCAAGAATTTTGTGAATTTATATCTTATAGTTACTAAGTAACTGATTGATAATCGAAAAGTTTTTATTTTACTATAAAAAGTTTCATCATATGAGTTACATACAACTACAACTCACGTGGAGGAAACATATTCATGTGGAGGACCTGTGTAAAGCTTAGGTGGGGTATGGTAACATGATTCATTTTTGATTGAACGTGTGGCTGGAAGAGGAGGTTTTGAAGGTTCAATTTCCTCGGGTGTTTGCTCTTGATCCAGACCCGAGAGCTTTGGTTGTTGATCGAAACTCTAGACTAAAGTTTATTGATGTGTTAGTGTTTGGCCTACAACTTAAAAGTGGAGGCATAAGTGCTCAGTTTGAGTCTATTTTCTCTAAGCTTCAACAAGTTCTCTTCAGTAACGTTATGGATACGTATGTCTGGGAACTTGAAATTGATGGTAAGTTATTAGTTTCGTCTTTGAGATTATACTTGGATGACAATATGTTGGAGGCTGGTTTTATGTCTATTATATGGAATAAGCTTATTCCTAGAAAGATAAACATTTTGTTGTGCCAGGTTAGTATGGACAGGATATCATCTAGGCTGAACCTTCGAAACAAAAGTTTGGTTTTAGAGTCTGTCTTATGCCCGATATGTTCGAGTGCAGATGAATCAACAGAACACCTTTTCTTTTCTTTTCCTATAGCCAAGTCAATATGGGAAAAAATTGTACACCGGTGGCAGATTCCATTACCTTCTATAATGTTGGTGGCCACGCTTTTGTCCTGGGCGGATAGGGTAACCTTGGGTGTTGACGACATGAAGAATTTCGATGCGGTTGTGGGTGTGGGTGTAGCTTTCTGGGTCATTTGGATGTTTAGAAATGATACCTTTTTGCAATGTAGGGGTGAGCATTTAGACCAGATCAGACCGAATCGAATCAGACCAACTCTTGGATCGGACCGGATGAGACTTACTAGGTCTAGGTCCAGGTTTTCCGATTCTTGGACCCGTTTTGACCAGTACAACTTTATATGCATACGGTACAACTTGTTAAAACGCGTTTTTGGGTTTGATACATTACAACTCGTTAAAATTAATACTTTTTTTTTTAGTTTGATACGATACAACTCGTAAAAATAAATATGTTTTTGACTATTGTGTCATTTGGACCGTTCAAACTTTGATTTATACCTTATACCATTTGTTTGAAGGATTGTAACTCATTAAATATAATACCAAAAATAACAAAATTATAGTCTAAAATTATCTACAAACTTTAAATTACACGTTGAAAAAAAGCGCATGTCGATCCGACTTAAACGAATAATATATGTTTATTTAAAGAATTTTACATAATACAAAGTTTAAATTTCTTGTTGAAAAGCTGAAATATTTCAGCTTTGATATCTCATCTTTGAAGGATTGTAACTCATTCACTCATTGAATATAACACCAAAAACAACAAAATTATAGTCTAAAATCATCTATAAACTCTAAATTATACGTTAAAAAAACCGCATTTCAATTCGACATAAAACGAATAAGATATGATTGTTTAAAAATTTTCACAAAATAAAAAAATTTAAATTTTTTTACTGAAAAGCTGAAATATTTTAGCTTTGAT